CAGCAGTACGTGAACTCAGAGAGGGATAGCAAGGATTGGCCAGATTGGGAGGCCAAGAAGTTGCGTTCTTTCCCGCCCACCCACCCTTTTTCTTTCGAAGGTGAGGGAACGGAAGGAATGCAACGGGTAGAGTAAATGGTAGAGTACCATTTGGGAACTTGGTCGTCTGAGATGTTCCGTACAGTAGGAAGAGTTCCCCACACCGGTGGAATGAGAAACCCCGGGCTGTTTTCTTTGGGAAGAGAGAGAGACAGTAGAATGAATGGACAGAGACACGGTAGGACAGGCGCAGAGGGCGTCTACAGGAATCGTGTTCTGTCGGCGTGGTTTCTCTCTCTTCCCCGCGTGTGAAGAGAAAACATTAATGCAAAAAGGCAATTCGAAAGAAAAACAATAAAGTGGGAGGCAATTTGTTAAGTGGGAGGCAAATCCACAAGAGGGGGGCTAACTCAGAGGATGTTACGTACGGTGCATTCCCTTTTCACGCCAGCATATTTTACATGTTCACCCATCGCACGAATCACAGGCTAGCATGAGCTTTGATCGTTGCCACTTTGGCTTCTGCGGTTGCCTCAGGTTTGCTTGCGAGTCCTTGCTTCATTTCACAGCAATCCTCCTGGTCGCGCATCTTGAAGGGGAAAACGCAAGGTCATTCATGCCTCAACTTGTTTTCCTCGACTTCCAACACTTCTCTCAATAATGGGAGGCCAAGCCATGCGGATGTTTTCTATTACGTCGGAGATGTTTGAGTTGGGCGCACGATCAATCTCACACCAACTCAAACAAGGTTGAACCCCTGCATACGGCCCATGCTCCCCAGAGTTGAGAGCCTTCCCTCACCCGAAGCACCAGTCGAACAGCGCGCCACAGAACGGATATTTTCCTCCACACACAAAGACACACACGCCAACGCATTCCAATACCCTGAATCACCCATCACCAAAGTTCCTGTTGATACGTCCCAGCAAGCCCCACACGAACCATCATCGTCGTTGAAGCTTACACAGTGTAAAAATCATCATTTTCCCCTCCATCAAAAAGGAGTGGTGCCGACAACGAGCCCCGTTCTCATCTACACCCACCCGCCTGTTGATCAGCAATCGACCACCGGCACCATGTTCTTTGCAAGTTTGTTGTACTGCAGATGAAAGCATATTTGCTTGTCTGGCATTTCGTCCAGCCCCCCTTTGTGCCACACTGAACAGATTCCCATGTCCAACCAAGGCAAGCTAGTTTTGCGTGTCGCACTCTCGCACATCCTCCCCTCTTTCCGACTTTCGTATTACTGGAAGACCAAGTGTCTAACTCTAGCTGGTTCAGCCTCTGCCCCATTCTCTCATATCTCATATCTCATATCTGCCCTTGTCTCTGTGCTTCTGGATGTCTCTGCTGCTGTCTCTGCCTCTCTCTCTCTCTCTTTCTCTCGGCCCTTTCCCATTTTGGGGGCGTCCTGTCTGTCCCTCTCCAACGCACTCAACGCCCCTCCGCGACCTGCTAGGGAGCCGACAGAAAGATTGTTCGCGTTTTGTCACGCTTGAAACGTCAATGATCAGTCGACTAGCACGGCCAATGCTGAATGCCAAAAACACACAAACAACTTCAGCAAAATACTTTTGTCGATGGCCTTGAGCCAAAATCGGCTGAACCACTAAGCCTCCTCCTACCCCTTGTGAGAGCTGGAAACAAGCTTGGGGAAAGCTATACGCCGCAAGTGTGTCATACCACGGCAACTGCTGCATCTACTGCTGATGATGCTGATGCTGCTGCTGATGTCGCTGCTGCTGCTGCTACGCGGCGGATGACGACGGCTTGCCAGCATCTTCCACCAGATTAAACATGACCTGAGACAACACCAAAACACAGACGTGTCGTCGCATGACATGCCATGACTGCACAGGCGATATCAGCGGTTCCCAAAACTGTCGCGCGATGGGGTGGGGGTTGCACTCATTCCTTGGTTGGCATAGCGCCGTTACTTCTCCCAACCAAAGCACCACCCACATGTGGGCGGTCTCTACACACGCATATGTATGTGAATTCTACGACGGGAAGGGGCACGGGGTTACGTTGCCATGTATGGTCGCAGTTGGCGGGGAGAAGGACATCAGGGTTAGCAGTTCGCCTAAAAACGAAACGCCTGTTGGATGTTTGGCGACAGTGATGATGTCAATGTCGAGCTACACTCCTTAGAAACGAGCAAAACGCAGAGTTCTCGGCACTCTGTGCCTCTCAAACTCGTGTGGATGCCCGCCTAGAAGTACCGTCATGTACACGGCGCCGCGGCGGTACTTAGACTAGTCTCCATCCAGGGAATGCGTCCGGGTTTTCGCGAAGCGTTTGCGCAGCTTGAGGGGGGGAGGGCGTCGCGGATAGATCGTTGGAGAATGCTGGATAGTGTATAACATCGAGAAAAAAAATATTATGAATTGCAAGTCAACAAACAACGTTTAGCCCTGGTGATAAGCGGAGGTATCGTTGGCAATGCTTGGCAACACAGGAAGAAAAACCCCTGTCACGACACCAGCACCTAGCACACCGGATTCACCACCTCCCCGCCGAACCACGCCCCCCCCTCAGTGTTTAAGATCGGGGGTGGGTTTTCGTTGCTTGGCAGCGATGTTGTAAAACAAACAGATCACTTCGTGAGCTCGCCAACCAGGTTACCGCTTGTTTTTTCTTTGGATTTGTATTTTTTGCGGTAACCATGAATGGTGGTCGAGCAGATGATGCTGTGCGGGGTCGATAACGCTCACTCCGCGCGAAGGGGGTAATCGCACCACGTTGTGTTGAATTGGTCAAGCACCCTCGAGGCAGTTACACAGTGCTTACAACTGTCTCTGGACGTGAAAGCACCAGAAAAAAGTTTGACTCATACGCAACTGTCACCCGTACGCAAAGAAGCAAGCACAAGATGCAGCGCACCCTTGATGCGACTCGCCGAATACCTCACGGCGCTTCGCGCTTGGTGATGTGAGAGCCTGATCCGGTGAGCACCCGGCGCGCTCCGTCCCGGCTTTGTAGGGATGCGAAGTCAATGGTCTAACGACTACGGCATGCACGACTATGAGTCCCCCCCCCCCCCCCGCCGCCGCCGCCGAACCACAACCCACCAACAACGAAAAGTTGATCCGGAAACCAACCAATCGTAAATGCCATTTATCTCAACGGTGGAGGACGTGCCTGCTCACAAGGGCGCGTAAACATCACAATGCAAGCGCACCCACAGCCGACGGAGAACGCACCTTGATAGCATCCCCCCCTCTCGCGGACACTTTGAAGCCCTCGTTGATGGTGTCTGAGGTGAAGTTCGTGGCGAGGCTGAAGCGGTGGGTGATGAGAGGCTGCACGTCAATGGCCCTGGGCACGAATGGAGAACAGCGCAAAAGGACGCGAGAGTGAAAATAGCAAGTTTGGTGACGCAGATATAGCCGATGCAGACTACTGTTTATTGAAACAGTCGAATTGCCAGAGGCGTTTGTGTTCCTGTATTTCGGGGTGGCGGCTTGGGAGAGTCCTTTTGGGAGTGGTCGCTTTGTCGGAGAGTTCACGTGCAAGGAGAAGGTTCGCCGGACAGCGTGGAATAGCAGAATTGCACAACAGCGGTACGTCAACTCAGAGAGGGATAGCAAGGATTGGCCAGATTGGGAGCCCTGAAGTTGCGTTCTTTCTTTCTCTCTGCGAGCGGGGCTTGGACGGAGCCCGGGCACGCGCGCGCTTCATCCAGACGTCATCAACGAGGACAGAGGCAGGGCTGGGCCACTGGACGCGGCGGTACCCCGAACTCACCGGTATGTTTATGATATTTCTTGAGGGAGCGATAGGCGGGGTATGGCGAAGCCTTACTAATGATGATGGCTCACGACGTTTTCTTCGTTGTTTTTTTTTGTGTGCCTACACTGCTGTGTGCAAACACCGAGGGAGAGGAAAAACACCGTTGCGGCCTGGGTGGTGGGTCACAAGACGCATAACCGCAAGGGTAGTGGTTCGAATTGCAGCACGCCCGCGTGCACGCGCATGGGATGCAATTTGCCGCTGCGAGGTCAAGAATCTCCCTCGCAGCTGTCGGTCTGTGACCGAAGCGCAGTGCGCCAACCACCTGCAGGATTAGCCATGTGGAATTTGTGCACAAGAGTCACATATTCTACGAAAAGAGACACTGGTTCAAATTGTAGAGCCGGCGCGTACATGCGCACGCGATGCAATTTGCCGCTGCAAAGCCGTAAACGTCCATCGCAGCTGTCGGTCCGTGACCGAAGCGCAGTAGCACCTCCATAGGTATCGCCGCTGAACGATACTTTTCGCATACGTGTACAGCCATGTACAGCAACGCAGTATGCGAAAAATGTCTGTTGACGTAAAGGAGTCCCCCCAAGTTCAGCTACGTGTTCGAGGATCTTGTAATTGTAGACCGATGTCTCCAGCTTGGGTGGACCAGCTCCCCGGCCCTGTGGGGCGTGTGTTCTTCTGCCGTAGAACACGCGTACAACAACACGACTGTCACGTCCGCCGCGACCACCCCGGAAGGTCGGGACGCTACTAGTCATGTTTACGTAGAGCCACGGCGAGAAAACGAAGTGCGCGGGAGGTTGCCACCGGAGTACGTTTTTCCCCGGGATTCTGGGGGAATGATCCGCAACTACTTGTGGGTACGTACGTACGTACGTCGACGACGCATTATTCGTCGAGCTTGAGAGTTTCTTAGAGGGGAGGCGATGCCTGCGCGCGACCCGCTCCTTTGCGTCTGATAGCTTTCGCTTGTTCGGTACCCGCAATTAGGGAGAGCCTTCCCTATTTTCTAGGGGAACAAAACACGTCGTGGGATACGCGCATGGAAATGCCAGGATGGTTGATCGATACTGTGGCATTGACGATCTCGGTGTCGCAAGAGGAGGTTGCGAAATTGCGGGCGATGTTGGCGGAGTGGCCGGTTGAGAGACGAGTAGCCACGGTGACGGAGGTTCGGTCGCTCTTGGGCAAGCTGCTGCACTAATGCCAAGCAGTGAGACCGGGCAAGTTTTTCGTACCCCGCATTTTGAACCAGTTGGGGTCACCACCGCTGAACGCAGGGAAACATACGGGTACCGGCGTCATGATAAGAGGAAAGCACCGACGCGGAGGCGTTCGGTTGAGTCGCGAGTTTCACGAAGACTTGGGTTTTTGGAGGAAAGTCATGACCATGGCCACAGGGTCTGACGGTATCACGAAGTTAGAGGCGCCCTTGCTCTACTCCTTTCTGCAGGCGCCGTCCCGAACGCTTGTGAGCGATGCTGGTGGGGACGGCATGGGCGGGTTTTGCTTAGAGTCTGGTCAGTGGCGGCGGATTAATTTCACGGATGATATTCGGACGCGCCTTCGCAACCGGGCGTTTTCTCGAGATGATTTGTCGATTTATGTGTTTGAGCTGCTGGGCATGGTAGTCGCGGCATGGGCGTCGACAGTGCAGGCTGGGGTGAAGCCAGAGTAACCGGGGCAGAGCATCTTGATGAGAGGTAACATGAGTGCCGTCCACTGGGTTAACATATGTCGGGGCGCAAAGGAACCCAGGTCGGGTGCGTTGATGCGGATGCTCGGGTGTTTGGAAATGAGGAGTGAGTGGCGTTTTAGGGCGAAGCGCGTCAAGGGCGTGGCAAACACGTGGGCTGATGGTATCTCGCGATGGAAGCACGACGAAGTCGCCTCTAACTCGTCCGACATTCGTTGGCAGGAGCAGCATCTAGGACAGGAAGCGTTGGACATCACTTTCGCGGTCTTGGCGGCATCAAGCTCATCGGAGGATCAGTTGCGAAGTCGTCTCAACGATGTTACGCGTCAGGTTTACCGGTCTTGGTGTGTCTTTCGTGGCATGATGGGGCTGGAGAAGTTTTTTCGAAGTGATGCTTCCCCCAGAGAGACGGCGTGGGCTTTGATTGACTTTGCTGCTTGGTGTTTCGAGTCGGAAGGAAATTTAGCGCGTACCATTTCAGGCAAACTTGCAGCAGTACAAAACTACCACAGGGTAGAGGCACAAGTGGCGATCGTTACGTCCTCCCCGTTGATTAGGTGTGCGTTGAAGGGCATCGCTAGGTCTCACGTAGAAGCGGGCACGGGCCCACGCGTGCGCCTCCCTGTCACGTGGAGGATGTTGTTGGATGGTGAGAGCTTGATTCCAGCGTGGGGAACCGGCGGATGGGTACCATGCCTGTGTTTAAGCCTCAGCAATTTTTTACTGACCCGATCAAACGAGATGTTTGCGGGAAGTTCAGGGGTAGCCCATCCCGTACATTGTCTCACGAGAAAGGATGTTGCGTTATTCTCTGGGGACACCCAGCTGGAGTTCGTTCACTGACGGCAAGCAGATAAGATGGAGGTACATTTCAGGGGACATGAGGGAAATCAGGACCAGAATGGAGAAGTAAGGGCTGGTACACGAGACGAGATAAGCGGCACGCAGTCGGGGTACAATGCAAACGGAGGAGCCGTGGCTCTGATGGTGGAATTGACTTCTTGTCATGCAACGCTGCCCGACGACGCGCCACTATCCTCGTACCGTAGCGGTCGTGAAGTCAAAGTGCTGAGGTACGGCGAGGCTTTGCGGGCATTCAGAGAGGTAGTCAAGAAGTCGGGGCGTGAACCAAAAGACTTTGCATTGCACTCCCTTCGGATTGGGGGGGCCTCCACCCTGGCGGCTGGGGGGGAGGTTTCGGAACGAGTAATCCAGAGGGCGGGCAGGTGGAAGTCAGACGCGTACAAGCCATACACAGTAAACAATGTGGAAGATTCGCGACGGGTGTCCCGTATTCTAGGCGATAAGGAAAAGGGAGTGGCGAGGCAGCCGGGGGAGAACACGGTGTGGGGTAGCGAGAAAAGGAGACGATGTTCTACTGTAGTGAANGGGCGTGAACCAAAAGACTTTGCATTGCACTCCCTTCGGATTGGGGGGGCGCCCACCCTGGCGGCTGGGGGGGAGGTTTCGGAACGAGTAATCCAGAGGGTAGGCAAGTGGAAGTCAGACGCGTACAAACCATGCGCAGTAAACGATGTGGAGGATTCGCGACGAGTGTCCCGTATTCTAGGCGATAAGGAAAAAGGGAGTAGCGAGGCAGCCGGGGGAGAACACGGTGTGGGGTAGCGAGAAAAGGAGACGATGTTCTACTGTAGTGAAATTCTCATGACGGCCTCGGATTGGGTAGAGTAAATGGTAGAGTACCATTTGGGAACTTGGTCGTCTGAGATGTTCCGTACAGTAGGCAGAGTTCCCCACACCGGTGGAAAGAGAAACCCCGGGCTGTTTTCTTAGGCAAGAGAGAGAGACATTAATACGAATGGACAGAGACACGGTAGGGCAGGCGCAGAGAGCGTCTACAGGAAAGGTGTTCTGTCGGTGCGGTTTCTCTCTCTTCCCCGCGTGTGAAGAGAATACAATAATGCAAAAAGACAATTCGAAAAAAATAAATAAACACGTCCGGCTTGGTCTTGGTGTTGTGAAGCGGAATACGGGGGGGGTGTACTCATAGCCGTGCATGTCGTAGTCGCTAGATCATTGACCTTGCATCCCTACAATACCGGGGCGGAGCACGCCGGGTTTTCACCGGACGGACCAACCGTACACGGGATGAAATAGAACACGAGCTGAAGGTTAGAAAATACTCTTGTCTGAGATTGCTTGAGTAGCTCCGATGTGCACATGCGTAGAGTGTCTGACAGAAGGCAGAGCCGCAGCACAGCAGGAACACGCGTGAATGCGCACATCTTTCTGTAGTCACCAAAAGGGGTAGCACCACCGCGTTGTAGCAGTGAAGCAGACAACAACACAACCACGACCCCCACCCACATCAACACTCACCCCGATCCAACGAGATGAATTGCTGTAGGATAGGCGTCCCTGTAGCGGAACACGCCTACCAAGTCGACCTCCCGGGCGGCCGAAGCAGTGATCGGCAAGCTCATCATGATGTGACCCTACACCAGCGTCAACACCAGCACGCAAAGCAATCGCATGGACGGAGGGGGCGAAATCGTGTGATCGGGGGATAGTGAGGTGGGAAAGGGGGCGGGGGGGCTCATGAAAAATTTGGCTCCAGTGCCTGTAAATCCTGGGCTGGTTTTTTGAAGATGCGATCGACAAAAAAAAAAAAAAAATCTCACAGCGACAAACCCTCAAATTTCCCGCGTTTCCCACAGCCACCGTGGCTGTCGCCATCACCACCAACACCCAAGCACTGCGGCACATACACCACCGGTGTAGGATAAAACGCGTGGGCGATGACCAAAGTGCGAAATCTCACCATCCCCACGAGGCAAACCTTGCCCCCGCTCTTGGCAGCCGCCAGAGCCGTCGACACGCTCGACTCAAACCCGCAGCAGTCCACGCACGCGTCCGGCCTGCGACCGCCATCTCCCACTACCTTGGCAGCGGCCTCCGCGGGAGAGAGTCCTTTCACGTTGACCGCAACGTCGGCTCCGAGCTGGTTTTTTTTTTCCCGTGTGCAGCAGGCGTGTGTGGGGGGGGGTGGAGACGTATCGCGAATATATCGAAAGAGAGGGGGTAGGGGGCGGGGGAGACATGCTCGGAGTGTTTTTTTGGGGCGGGCAGAAGGGTGTGGTCCTTCTCCCTCTTCTCCGTGGGGTACTTGCGTGTGTTGATCGTTCATTGGTCGAGGCCGCATCTCCCGCGCACCGAGCCTTGACCAACCGCTCGAAATACGAGAAAACCAGGACCCTTGACATTTTGCCGCACACTTCCAAAACCTCTCCAAAGTACACTGCGTGGCGTGCATACGTGTGTGAAATAATGCGCGATGTATTGGCTATATAGTCCTTCGCCAGGCATCGTCGGTGAGCACCACCGTCACTGTAAGCCAAACCTCACGCCTTCGGCGACTACTATCGAGTCATCAACACGGGTCAGCAATTCAAGGACGCTTGATTTACCTTCAACGAAAAGACCTTGATCGTACGCGTGCACAGCAGTGCGTAGCCGAAGGGAAGCATAACTCTCACCTCTTTGGCGACCTTCAGCCGTTCGTCCGAGACGTCAGTGACAACCACCACCGCCGCCCCGAACGCTCTGGCGACCATCATGCTCAGGAGCCCGATAGGCCCGGCGCCAAGGATGGCGACCTTCTGCCCGGGCTGCGAGTAGATAAGGTTCAGGAGGGGTTTGGGGGTTTGGGGGCTGTCTCTTATACACATCTAGATGTGTATAAGAGACAGA